GGGGTGCCAGGCGCTGCGGCTGGTAAAGAGCTGCGCAACCGCCTGAGTTGTGCGGAATCATCGCTGGGAGGAGGGCCAGCCCCGTTAGCTTCCATTGATCGGACCGCAGGGCAAGCGGGTGTGGGGAAAGGCTAGGGAGCTCCGTGGGATGTTGGATTGAGGTGGGTTTTTTTCCGTTTGTTTTTAGGTGGAAATAGTTCGGGAATTTTTGAGTTTACCACCACCAGGCACCGAGACTCCCTTTCGCGACGCTCCACAGTGGAGGGTGCATCCTGAGCCGTTTCCAGGATGCTTCATCTTCCGGGGGACTCGCGATTGCTTAAAAGCAGAGCACTGGCCCTAGCCCTTTGCTGACACGTCCTCAATAGTTGCATTCATCTGTTAGGTTACTTTCTGAAAGCAGAACATTTTAATGCAAATGCTGCACTTGTTCTGGTCCACAGCTGGATTTATGCTGGATAATGCACTAACTGCTGGTCTATCAACATTTCTCTCCTTTTTGGTTATTCAGTGCATGTATTAGAAATGGATCCAAAAGAAATGGAATTATGCCCAGGCAAGGTATAGTTTCCTATCCTTTAATTTTCAGTAGCAGCTGGACTTCAAGAATAAGCCTGGAAACAGGCTAAAAGGCAAAGGGGTATGCTCTTTAAATGAATAATCAGCACCGAGTAACGTTGAAGAGTGTTGCTACCTGCAAATGTTTACTTAAGCCTGGCAAAACAAGCTCAGCTACAAGACCCAGACTGCGAGATAAGAACGACAAGATCAGTCAGATAGTTTTGATTCTCCTCGCTAACCTCAGCTAACATACACTTGCATAATATGTTATTGTGATAAGGTTGCACAATTCTCTTCCCCCTTTCCCACTGGATCTGTCCTGTGTTTGTCAAAGGCAGTATGAAGTCAAATTCCAGTGCTGTTATTTGCAACAGGTAACCAGTTTTCACCATGAGTTGCCCAATTAAGAAAAAAAGTGTGTGAAGTAGGAACCTACTCCTTACAACTAGTGAGTTTTATTCATGTGAGGTTTTGGCGCTATCTGTATTCTATCACATTGCATACAAATAATACACAGTCATACTCTATAAGATGCAGGAGGAAGAGAGGCCTGAAATCACTTCAAATACTGTTTACTCACTGAACAAATTTCCTCCAGTGTTTCATTAAAATTACTATGATTCAATTATTTGCATATTGTGAGTAGGGCATGGTTGCTTACCATAAGTCTAGACTATTAATTTGTTTCCTGGAGGACTTAAAAAACCAGCAGCTTGACATGCATTTAATAGAGATGGGAAGGTCCTTGCTGTCCATTTCAGCTTGACGTGCATTTAATAGAGATGGGAAGGTCCTTGCTGTCCATTTCAGCAAGTAAGCTGTATGTCAGCCCTCCCTTTTGTCTCGCTCCCGGTTTTTCATTATATAATCTTAAAGGGAGCTACTATTCTGATGATAGATGGAGAGAGAGAGAGAGAGAGAGATATACACACACACACACACACACACACACACATATATATATATATATATATATATATATAGACTTGGCAAGAGAAATGGTTCAAACTAAAAGATAAGCCTGAGTTACAGTAATTCAGGGTGACTAAAAGCTTACAGGCCACTTATACCTGAAGAGTGGGGAGTGGCCTTCAACACACCTTGAGCGAAATGCAACTCTTCCCCTGCTCTCTTTAGCAAAGAACTGGTTTTTGGCCCACTCTACTGTTTTTCATTTGATTTAGCAGGTCCTCAAAAGGCGTTGGGTGTCTTTTTTTTTTTTTTTATTACCAGTAGGTATGCTACAATATTTCCCAGCATAGGCAGCACCTCTTACTGATTTTCAAAATATAACCAAATATTAGCAACTTCTGAGGTGGAAAGTGTACTGCATAATACTATAAAGATACACAAAGACAGTGGAGAAGGGATGGAATCTGAAAAGCAGCTTTCACAGCAAGTTATTGGAACTATCCTTCTCAAGTCTTTTCCATACAACAGAGCTTTCAAATCTTAAGAGTTTTCTTTCTTCCAGAGAAAAAGGCAGTACTTTGAGGGCATTTACCCTGAACATATAAAAGTGTACAAACTGAATTTTGGAAATCTCTGGTGCACAGACAAAGCATTATGAAACAGCAGTCCCTAACTTCCTAGGGAGAGGCACTTACTAGAAGTACTGTGCATTTGCCTCCAAACAGGTAGTCGCTGCCTTCCAGTCAATCAATAAGCCCCTGATGCTGCAGCAGCAGCTTCCTTCATCTGCTCCACTCAGTTCCTGGAAGCCTGTCCTGAGAGCCTGGGAGTGGGCTCCCAGGGTGGAAAGTCTGGAAATAGGAAAGATAGGTGAGCCAGAGCAGGCTGGGCTTCTGTTGAGAGGAGTAGGGAGGTGGTGGTACAATTGTTTCCTAGAAGAGTGTATGGCCTAGCAGAGAGCCACTGCTGCTGGGATCAAAACTAAGGTCTACGCAAGGCTCGGCATGGAGCTCTCATACATTGCAATCAGATAAAAATTAAAAGTTGCTCTGTCAGCAGTAAAGGCAATCTGAAAAATGACAGTTGCATTTGAAGAGGTATTTCAAAATAAAATTTAATATTAGAAGAATTACATTCAAATATACCATTGAATACATATAACCATTATTTAATGCTCTGCATTTCAAGTTCTGCTGTTCTTTGGCAGTTACCTTAGTTGCATCTACTGTAATGTTTTTGCTTCAGGAAAATGAAACCCTTTTGAAGAGCTCCTTCTCCCTCTATGCATCATGCTATGTTGCTATGCTATCCCAAAACTGAAGTATCCCAAAGAGATAGCTGAGCTGGGTTATTCTGAAAACAAGCAATAAACTACACAACAAAGCACAGTATTTTCTCTCCAGGTTTTGATACTGAGTATTATGCTAAAGTTTTTCAGATTAGCTACAGTTCAGTTATACCGCCAGAGTAGTACCAGTGTTAGAGCAGTGCAACCTGCCTCTTTCATGTGGATTTAATAGCAGCCGCTTAAGAATTAAAATGGTTATAGTTAGTCCCATACAGAAAAAGAATAACGTTATACTGGTAGAGATACCTTTAGGCTTGTGTAACTGCCCCCTCTTCACCCCTCCCCCAAAGTAAGGAATATTTTAGTTAGAGCCCTTTCCTTCTTGCTCTCTCCCTCTTTTCATAATGATAAAAGATCTGCTTATAGAATAGTTCTAAAGAACTTAACACTCACTGCTTCAGTGAAATGATTCTGCAGGTCACAAATATCTAACGCAATTTAAAGCGGTGAGCTACAGAATCATAGAACAAAGGCAGAAGTATGTACAGAAGGTAGGACATTTAGAAGCAAGTGGTATTTTTGTAGCAGTTAAGATCCTCCTCTGTCTGCAGAGCTCCAAGTCACAGATTCTCTTTTTAAAGTTCATCACCAGGGCTAGAAGGAAAAAGTAAAGAGTAGGTGACTGATGTCTGATCCTCACAGATCGGAGGCAAAAGCAGTCTGAACAGGACATTCCCTTTCAAATGGAAAGGGGACAAACCACTCAATATAACATACTGGTTTACCAGCTTTAGTTAATGAGGAAGTTAAGTGAAGACACAGGTTTACAGCTTAAGGAACAGGGTAAAATGAAATGTTTGGTGGCAAAAAAAATTGTCTTAGATTTTAACAGGCCATTTCACAGCATCTCATCAGGATTCTAAGAGAACAGAAGTCCCTAAATATGGGATACAAATACTGGAAAGTTGAAAGTAAAACTACCAAGTCGTCCTGAGTATTAAATATTCTCTTTAAAAATTGAGTTTACATAAGTAACAAACATGATTATTTTAATAGTATCCATCCAGTTTTTAAATGATGCTTAAAAAGGATAATTTTGCACTTGTGCTTATTCCAACAGCATTCGAGACTGTTAATACATTAAGAAGTGCAAATAATACACATTCCTAATGACTACACAATATTACACAGTCTATCACTTGCCTTAATTGTATAAATGCTCACTATTTAAGTTCAGCATAAATCTGTAACTGGCAACTCACTAGTCAGCATTACAGTATTACCACAGTAAAACATGTTGTTCAATGTTTCATTATTTTAATTTACAATTCAAAGTTGAAACTTCCATGTATCGGTAGGTTAAACACTGCAGAGTAGCCTTCCACGTTTCTTGTTCGAGTTCTGGAAAAAAACCCTGACTTCACTGCCTAGTGACATTAAACCATTCATTTTATGGGTCCCTTTAAGTATGAAAACACAAGAGGGATGAAATCCCATACCCAGCCCATCAGTTCTGATGTTTCAAGTAACACAAGTAGCAGGCACTAGTCTGCAGGTTATTTCACATAAAAGCCATGTCTCTAGGAGGAAGGGTGTTTAAATAAAGCAGCGGACAGGTGTTTAACAGAAGAGCAAAGCTCTTCACCATTAAAAATACGATAAGCTTCCCCTAAGACAAATCAGCATAGCTAATTCAATCAGATAATCCACTAAGTATGAAAATTCAAGGGAGTTCACTTCCACAGATTAAAAAAAACCCAAAAATCTACTAAGCCTTTTCTTGTACTACCCTTCAGACATGCAGCTATGCTGTTTACTAAAAGAACTAAATCACAGTCTTCTATGTACTGGATGGTGGTAGCAGTGCAGTTCCAAAGAAGTTGCACCTTGGACCTTATTGCAGTCATAGCATTGCAAATGACCTAACTTTGGTGACACCTGGGAGCAGCCAAAGATATTCTTTTTATATGTTTGTCTGTGTGTGTGTGTGTGTGTGTGTGTGTGTGTGTGTGTGCATACATATACACACACACACGTGTATACACACGCACACACACGCACACGTGTATATATACACAGGGACACTTACATAAAAGTGTTCTTTAAAAAATGCAGTTTTCTTTTAGTTTGAATTGGGCTGCTTGTGAACAGCAATTTCTATTTTTACAGGATTATCTTCATTCAGGTTGCATTTCTGAAGTGCAGAGTGACCTTAGTCACTGAAAGAACAAAACTCTTTCATTTAAAAAACTGAATTAGAATATTTTTAGTCAATTATTAAAATAAAAAACCTTAGGTGGTGCAGGTTACAAAATGCTGCTGCATAGGTTTGTCTTATATGCATGTGTCTGTTTTATTTAGGAATCACTAATCTTGAAAGACACTACTATAATACAGAACTGGGATTACAAATATGGTAAGTCTACAGTTATTTGCACAATGCTAAAACTTATAAAATATCTGCTTGAAATTTCAATGATTTGTTTAGAAGTTAAGTTGGTAAGTTTTGGGACACATTAAAGAAAGGAGACGTAGAAGTGGGCTTTAATGTCAGAAAATGGCTCATCTGCAAACTGATTGTACGCTGACATGCAATATTAGCTTTTTCCTAATTTCACTTTCAGGACAGCTCCAAAAAGCAGTTTAAAATACTCACGTGAGAAGTTACTGGATAAACAGTACAGTTTCTACTTTCACCAAGTCAAAAATACTCTTCCTTTATTTACAAAAAACTCGTTCATCATTCACATTGAAAGCAAGTAAAAGAATACAGTAACTACAATAAATTACCACTAAACTGTATTCTTTTTTCCTCCTACAGGAGCTGAACAAAAGAATCCTTGCTTTTTAACACCACCTGGGAAGCTTAGATTATTGAAGCGCACTCCACAACAGCAGGAAGAAAACCCAAAATGCAGTTTCAAAACTAGGGGGTGGAAAAAGAAAAAGTGAAGAACTGCAGGAGTTTCACCACCTTGAGTAATGTTTTACCTTTGTTTCACTATTTTTTCAACATGAGTGAAACATCTGCCACAAGGCTTAACTTTCCATGTTTTCAAGAAAGTCACATTCGACACTCTCTTCAAGCTGTTGCAAGATCTTTATGCCATTACCGCCAACGTAGTCCACAGAGAGAGAGGCAGAAGTATGAGAATTCTGAGACTCAGTCCCCTTTGCTGTAAACGCCCAACACAGAGTCTTGAAGAAGGGTACGAGTTGGGTGATGCTAGATATAGAACGGAAGTCCAAAAGAGGAAGTTTGTGCCTTTTGGAAATTCTCTCATTAGTATTGTTTGTTTCCTGTAAGCATACAAACCAAGATTTACTTAGGGTTTTGCATTAAGACACTAGGTTCTTCTACCGCATATAGTTCCTTTGAACCCTGTACGAGACACTTGTCTTCATACCGAGAGATCCAGGGCCTACAATTCCATGACTCTCTTGTGACAGTCTCACAAGTTCGAAAGACTGCAAATTTGGACCATCCTTCAAAATCAGAATTAGACAACCAACGACAACAGAGTATGGAGATTACAGATAGCCCGTAACAATATCCCTGAGAAATTCTAACGTCCCTGTTCTCTCTTCTGGAAGTATTAATGCTAAACCTTAATGGTAACTTAAAATGCTGTTATGGTTAACCCTGTTTGCTAAAGTACAGCTTGCTCTTTTTAGAGATACCTGTCCTGTCCGAGACAGACAGTTCCTCACTTAGTGGTTATGGGCAGATTTAAGGAAGCGACAGGAAACTACCACTCCACAGCCAAAAGCAATTTGGCATCTTCAAGGTACATGTGTGAAAGCAGGCAGATCATTTTTAAAAGCCTGAAGAAACTTTATTATATCTAAAAACCTCTTGCCTACCTTACTTTTCTAAGCACGTAACAAGATTTTAAGTTAACAGATTCCATACAAGTAAAGTATGATCTAAGTGAAGCATTCTTTCTTTACCCTGTATTTCCTCTTTAGCAGATCCATGATTCTCATAATGTGTGGTCTGCATTCTTGATGATTTTCCATCAGATGAGAGGTCACAGTACACGCCTCTGTGTCAATCTCTGGGACAAATGCCCATTTATACCTGAAGCAAAGAGATTACATTGTTAAGAATACTGACAGAAGAATTCATTTCTTGGATCATATATAGTTTAGTAGAGCACTAGTTTGTTTACAGTAACCAGCTGTCGTAACTGTTATTTCATGCTGCTACCAGAGCCTAACTTAACGATCAGGGAAGTTACTGTCATGTTGGTACTTAAATGCAATTGACCCCCAAAATTCCCAAGTGTGCCTATGTGAGTATAGGGAAAACAAAGAAGTGTGCCTGTGTCTTTCTCTTCTTCCAGTTCTCCTGAGTTAGAGGGGAAACTCCTAGTGAGGATGGTGAAATCTTACACGAACAAGAAAAAATTGTTTTGCACATACCCAAACTGCATTTTTTTAAAATCAATTATCTGTACTTGTAGAAAGAACATATGGCAAAATTTATTATGGAACAAAATATATATGTGGAATTACTTTAAAGAATAAGAACAGTAACAAACTCCAGAACAGATAGGCAATTAGAGGACTTACATTTGAAATAACTGCATCCTGTCAGGTGGAAATGAAAGTGCTGTATCCAAAAATTTACAAGCCGATAAATACAAGGACAGATCATTCTGCTGTATGTCAGAAAGTAAGGAACCACTGCCATCACCTGATACTTTCTGTCTGCTTATTTTGCTGTTGCTCCTGTTTTAAGAAATGCACTATTAAAACATATAAATCACAGAATCACAGAATGGTTGAGGTTGGAAGGGACCTCTGGAGATGGAGTCTAACCCCTCTGCTCAAGCAGGGTCACCTAGAGCATGTTGCCCAGGACTGCATCCAGATGGCTTTTGAGTACCTTCAAGGATGGAAACTCCACAACCTGCCTGGGTAACGTGTTGAAGTGCTCAGTCATCCTTACAGTGAAAGCTTTTCCTTATGTTCGGACAGAACTTCTCATGTTTCAGTTTGTGCCCATTGCCTCTTGTCTTGTCATGGGGCACTACTGAGAAGAGTCTGGTTCCATCTTCTTTATACCCTCCCTTCAGATATTAATATGTATTGATAAGATTCCCCCCTCAATTTTCTCTTCTCCAGGCTAAACAGTCTACTGTCCACTAAATGATTTTCATTCAACAAAAGGGGAATGCACCTGTGCACATCAAAAGTTTTATTTTCATTCTATTATTAGCAGTAAGATTAATATAGAAGGCTAGTAACAGAAACCTATCTAAGAAAACACATTAGGAAAAAAATGAAACATTGTAAAATTTTCAAATGCCGATTTAGCATTTTTTCTGGTTTTGTATGCAACTAGTTAAGTATCCATTCTTAGAACATATCATATCATTATTTTAGCCACTGAAAAAATCCCTAAACCAAGATTCATCAGTGCCAGAAACATGCAAGTGCAATTAACAAAAGTTGTCATCTTTCCCCTATCCCAGAAAATGCAAACATGGCAGCAAGAAAACAAGCACAATCAGTACTAGCTTTCACAAGTTCTCTATCAGATAAATGGCAATTCTTACTTTGATGGTTCATCTTCCTCAGTTAAATCATCTTCCAGCTGTAGAAACGTCTGAATCTTTAAATAAATAAAATTATAAATAAATTATTTATAGGGATATTAAAATGTTCACGCAACTCAAGCACAAAAAGATGTTTCATACAGTATGAGGAACCAGACTTAATTTACTCTATGACTTGCAACAAGTTAAAAAGTCATGCAAGAAACTATTTTAGCAATAACAACAAAAATCAATCAAAAAGATATTTCTTAATGACAATGTTAGTTCTTTCCTAAATTATCAAAGTAATACAGAGCTATCAAAACACTTCCTTTTTCAAATAGGGTGTATTTGGGAGAAAGGAAAAGGGAGGATGCGAAAAGAACAGAAAAAAACCCCCACACACTAACGAGTTTCAAGTTACTTATTCCTTACCAGTTCAGTTACCATAATTGGCCACAATGAGGTTAGATGCTGAGGAGAAATCCTTAACAAAAGAACTCTGAAGAAGAGAAACATCTGTGCAGCAGCTATAGAAGTTTGCCCAACACGAAGGTTCTCAGTCAGTCGTTCTGAAACGAAGATTAAAAACAAAAAGTAGTATTGTTTTCCTGAACATGCATTGTTTTGGGAAATCAAAAACGTAGAAGATGATAAAATACAAATTTTATTTTGCCATCAAGTTTTGGGTTCAGTCTCTTCCATTTTACTAAAACAAATTTTCATTCAGATAAAAAATCTGAAGAATTGGTGCTTATATACTGGACACGTTTTGTTTTGTTATTTTGTCAAAATTGAGCAACTCTTCCCTCTCTCTTGCGCTCACTTGCACGCTCGCTCTCTCTCAATGACATTATGTATGTGAATCTCTGAATTCTAACAAAGAGTCCAGCATCATAACTTTTATTAAAAACTGAAAAATAGAACTACCTGTTGGAAAATAGGTGATTTTCTTTTCTTATGCAATGTATGCATTTGTAACAGATATATAAAGAAGGCAGATCAAAGAAAAAAAAACCACTTACCTTGTATTAACGGAAGATAGAGATGATATTGATCAATCTCTCCACTAAAAACAGCAAAAGCCTGTCGCTTTAACAACATTGCTTTTTGCTCAAAACTTGGGTATAGTTTTAAGGCGCTGCTCTGCATATCTATAACAGATAGGAATTATTTTCATCACAAATGGCAAGTAGTCGTTATCTGTGCTACATAAGAAATAATTATTGTGTTCTGAAATCTTTCAAAAAGAAAAACTCTGTTAGGATCTACCACACAGAATAAAATCGATGTTGATCCAGATCTGCTCACACTAGCAGGAATATTAGGTGGAAGAAGCACTGCAACTCCAATGAGGCTGTCCAATATTTTAAGCCCCTGTTTCCAGCCTTATGTGTGCAAATCTCCCTTTTTTCAGTCATGTAAATCCATAGATGAGTGATGTCAAAATTTTAAGACTTGCTGAGAAAAAAACTGAGATGGTTGGCAAATTAAATATATATATATACATATATACATATGTGTGTGTATATGTGTGTGTATATATATATATATATATATATAAAATTATTAAAAAAATAAAAAGTGAATTAGTCTTGTTTTGTATCCCTTCAGCCATTTTTTAAAAGATCTGAATAAGAGACTGAAGCATACTCTTTCTATCAGAACTCCTGGCAAACTTAATGGTCTTATTTGGCCCTTTCCCCCAGGGTTTATTCCTCTACACCCTCCTCAAGCCTGAATAGGAGATCGGAGCACCTTGTTCAAAGGTTTGCTGTACTGGTACACCACATTCCTACAACTCTGCACCATTATACAGACAGGTGCAAAGCCAGCCAAAGTCTCCTAGCTGTCTGACAAGGTCATGCATGCTTCGGCAATCTAAAATCACGGCAAAGTATGCTTACAGAAGCCCAACGTGAGCATTTATAGAGAGAAAAATACTTATGACTTGTTTTAGACAATACTGAAATATTACAGAGTTAGCGTAGCCTAGGCTATGAAACATAACTGCAGATTTGGCCTAGTCTGCAGTTTACTGATACCTTAGTATATTAAAAATGCACCTAATAGCTCAAAAGAAAATGAATTTCCAATTAATTTAGAAATAAATTATCAGTAGCTGATACTCACTCATCAAATCTTTAAACATGGTTTTCTCATGTGTTAGAAGATGATCAATAATGGATCTCCAACTGAATAAAATATAAAGGAATTAGATAAGCAGATAGATTCATTGCAAAAAAGATTTTGGTCAAACATTTCATACAAGGAAACAGTTTCCAAACTGTACTCAATATGTAGATTTTTATCTGGTGTGAACATATACTACATTCTAAGCTTCAGCTCTATTATATGCAATTCCCAAATCACTAAGGGGAAATCAGCATAAAACAAGTTTATCCTTCTGCACAGTAAGGCAAATGTAGGTACTTATATTTAGTATAATTAGTTGTTGGGTCTTATTTTTAACATTACTACATTCTGTAGTACAGTACGAAACAGATTTTTTTTCAATATTAGTCCATTTTCTTTTAAAGCCTGTCTTTGTAAATTCAGAACAAAAATCACTGAGTACTACAATCTCATGCCTTACTGAGTGCATGAAGTGTCCATTTGGAAAAACGCTGGATCCATATACAACTCAAGAACTTCTTTTTTCCAGGCTCGCTTGGTATAGGCATAGCCACTCAATGAGCTGAGCAACTGAGCACCAGCACGAAAACTAGGAATGTTGTAGGCACTGGGGAAAAAGAACAATAATGATATAAATATATATATTTTTTAATTAAACATACGTAGCCAGAAAGTAAACTAGGTTTCCCAGAACTTCTGGCCAAATTCTCTCAGTAATAGGCTATGTCTACATTAGCTCATAACTTGGTGCAGTTAGGAGATCAGTAGATTAAAGCAGTTTGTGCAGAAGCTCCTCACATTTCCAGTGTACCTCATTTGGAGAATTAATTTCAGATTAGATATACTGCAGCACACTGGTGCCCATTTCCACTATAGATCGGGTTCAAAACTTTCTGAAAAGGAAGTTTCCTACAAGCTCTTGTATCCTTGTCAGCAGGCCCCTCTATAGGTGCCACACTGTAGTTTTGTCTGTCACTCGGGTAACACCAACGTGTCAGTGTCACCGTCACCTGTATAAAATCTCACACACAAGCTCTACTATTGCTTCTCCTTTTGCTCTTCTATGCCCTACCCCACTCTGAATGTGGAGAACATGCTGTGAGGCACAGTAGGGCAACAGTGCAGGGCTTAAGCCTAAAGCAGCAGGAGCAAGGTGAGAAGGATCCTGCATGAACTGATGCCTATCTTCTGACACTGCAGTTTCCATGAGGACACAGAGCCAAACAGCTTCCTGGGAATTCTTGCTACAGTGACTGCTTTGTCCACAGCTGAATAGAGGTTTCAGGTCTG